TGTATGTTAAATTTAAAAAAAGAAAGAAACTTAAAGAAAAACAAGAAAAATAATTTTTTTTTCTTTTTTTTTTTTAAATTTAGGATGAAAAAAATCAAGTATTAATTACAAATCAATGGCAAATTTATGTATGTAAACATATTATGTGTTTTTTAAATTAGTTTCTATTTTTTTTTTCTTTATTCTTTCAGGAATGGAATGACGAAGCATTGACATGGTAAGTTGAATAGATAAGAATTTTTCTATTTCATTTTTCTATTCATTTTTCAGGGATCCAGAAGATTATGGTAAATAAAATGGATATAATTAATGTAAAAGAAAAACAAAAAAATTAATTTTAGATAATCTCATGGATATACGTTTACCTATAAAACGCATTTGGCAACCAGATGTGACATTATATAACTAGTAAGTTCTTCAGTAAAATCCCAAAAGACAAAGTCAGTTAAGAAAAACATCTGCAACTCATTTTTCTTCTTTTAGAATAGCTATATAACAAAAAAACAGAGCAGAAGATGTGCCTTAAGGATATTCTTTGACAGACTCCTAGAGAGAGATTACCATGCTTATTCTTGATAATATTAGCCCAACTTACATTTTCTTTCTAGTGCTGATACTCGTCTTGAAGAAAAACGTGAAGTATTAGCAACTGTTTATCATAATGGAACTGTCTTTTGGAAACCAATGTCAATTTTTAAGTCTACATGTCAAATTGATATTCGGTTAATTGATTCTCTTGTTATTTATAAATAAATATGTTTATTGCTTAGACGTTTTCCATATGATCGTCAGAATTGTTCAATGAAATTTGGTTCATGGACATATGATAGTTCAAAAGTAAATTTACAATTTTATCATGATATACAAAGATTTGATCTTAATTCATATGTTAAATCAAATGAATGGTCAATTATTGGTAATAGTGCATCACGTAATACAGAAAAATATGGTAAATATAATTAAAAGAGAAACAAAAAAAAGAAATCATCAATTCAATTATACGAATATATTATTTTTTTTTCTCTTTTTTCTATAGATTGTTGTCCAGAAATTTATGTTGATTTAAAATTTTATATTAATCTTGAACGACGTGGTGGATTCTATAATTATATTTTGATATTACCATGCGTACTTTTATCATGTCTTACATGTATTCTTTTTTGGTTACCAGTAAGAATAAAAAGAAAAAAATAAATTCGAATTAATAAAATAAATCTTAAAATTTATTTATTTTTCTTTCTTTAGCCGGAAAGTCCATCAAAACTAGTTCTTGGTAAGAAAATAATTTACATTTTTGTTTTTTTTTTATTTCAATAATTTTTTTAAATTACTAGGAATGAATATCTTTACATCATTTTTTGTATTATTACTTTTATTATATAAAAATATGCCATCAAATGCAGAACATATTCCACGTATAGGTAAGATATTTATATTTAAACGACATATCAATATTCTTTCTATTTTTATAAACTAGCAATAACAAAAAAAAAATGAGTACGCCCGGAAATGAAATATTTGTCATGAACAAAATATTTCCGGTTCTTTACTAGATGAAAGCAATGACAATAGAGAAAAAAAATGTCATTGTTAATGTCCGATAGATGTAAATTTCAGTATACTCGTAATTTTTTTTGCTGTTTGTCAAAAAGAAAGAGTCTCTTCAATTTATGAGATTGAAATCTAAAAATTTACGAAGTGATAACCATTAAAAGTCAATCAATGAATTTCTATGAGAATTAAAATAAGATATTTTCGAATTAGTCGAACAGCTATAATATACAATTAAATGAAGAGCAAACTTTTACTTAAACAAAAATGTCATTACTATATCTCGGATATTACCTTTGTTCTTCAGTTAGATTTGAGCACGATGATCCTGGAATCAAACACATTTTTCAGTGGAGACGATACCTTTTATAGTCATGTAAAATTTACATCGAATGTCATATTGTCACGACTCATGTGTGCTAATTAGATAGGAACAAGACAGTCACATCCCACGGTGGGCATTTTTACATAGATCAGGCGGATGTGGTTTTTTTTTTGACTTAAAAAGATCTTATTCTGTACTCAATATAGTTTTTGTTATGTATCAAATGTCACTATAATCTGATAAAAGTCAAATCCAATAAAAAAAAAGGAAATTTTTTTTTACTGAAAAATTACTATAATAGAATCTTACCCTATGTATATATGGAAAAATTTTGTTATTCCAAGTATAAAGTTAATCTCCAATAAAAGTATTTCTATGTCGAGAAAAACTTTAGCTCAGGTTTGGAACACTTGCGCTAACGCTATATAGATGTTCTGGGTGAAAGGACACTCTTCTGAAGTTTCATTCAATTATTGATTATTTTTTGAAAGCCGAAACGGATAAAAGTGAAAGTTTTTATGTTTTTGTTTTTTAATAACCCATAGGTCAGAGTATATATATATTGAAAAACTGATTGATCTCGGCCATGTCACATTTCAATTCAATGTCAAAAATATTAAATATCTTTCTTTTTTTTTTTTGTTTTAGGTGCTTATTATTGTTTAAATATGGGAATGATTGCCACGTCAACATTTTTATGTACTATAGTTGTACATATTTATTTTCGAGGCGCTGGACCAATGCCAACAATTTTAAGAAAAGTTTGTTTTTTCTTTTTTTTTACAAAACAAAACGGAAATTTGTTTTCTTTTTAAGATTTTTCTTGAATGTCTTGCTCAATTATTTTGTATGGTACCACATACAAATACTTATCAACAACATGCTGTAAATGGATTAATGCCACCAATAAAAGCAACATGTGATGGTGATAAATTTGAAAAATTTGAATTACTTAAAGAACGTTTTAAATCATTTGGTGATAAACGTACAGTAACAACAACAACAACAGGAGGAACGGGAGCAACAAATGATGATACATTAGAAACTTTAGATATGATGAATGATCATAGTCAACATCGTCAACATCATTTTCATCAACATCAAGAAAATTCATTAGCACAACAAATTCAACAACAAATAGCAGCATCTATAACATTTATGACTGTTGAAACTGATTTAAAAGAAATACGAGATTTTTTACGTACAACAAGAAAACGTATGGAAGATAAAGAAGCAAAAACAAAAACAGTTAATGATTGGAAACAAGTTGCACTTGTACTTGATCGAACATTTTTTTTTATTTATCTTACAGCTATTATTATATCTCTTCTTGTTATGTTTCCTCGATAAATTTTTCTTCTTATATTTCTAAACAAGATTTTATTTTATTATTTAGATAAACTATGATAGAATGAAGCTAATTAATTCCTTATATCATCATGTATAATATATAATCAAGCAAGGAAGTGATTAATTAGTAAAGATTAATTATTTCTATGACAAAAAAAAAAAAAATCTTAAGATAATAAGATTTCGTGAGTGAATCCCACTGGAAAATAATTTTTGCATGTAAGATAAGCGGAAAAGACCTTCAATTAAAAGGAAGAAAAAGGGTCATTAAATGTCAAAATTTAGCTTGAGAACTAATCGTTTCATGTATCAAAACATTGTAAAATTAAAGATGAAATATTTAAAACCGAAGAATCAAAATCAACAGTAAAAAAAAGTTGATTGTTTCGAGATATAAAATTGATTCCAACTTAATTTGCTACTATAGTATGTTCTTAAATCCTTGAAAAAGTCAATCGAACGGCTTGTCCATGTAACGTGACACGTCGTTGCTCAAGTTTTGGAAAAACATTTTTTTTTGCAATTGGACAGATCATTAGATGCAATTTTTCACGCTAATCATGAATTTGACATCTGTTTTTTTCTTTTTTAATAAAAATTGGCTTTTAAACTTTTCAAAAAAATCGTATTTTGAATTTTCTAACCAAGAATTTTTTTCAAATAATGCTGAATGACATACCATTCGATGCGCAATTTAATTCTCTACAAATAGTCGCTTTATTTTTGACATTCGTCATTAAGAACAACTTGCACATTCTAGTTAATCATCGACAAGATCATCTAGTTAATGAGCTTCCATTTTGATATAATAGCTTGATTCTTGCATAGAGTGATTAGACATACAAAAAAGACCAATATTTAAGAAAACCAGATATTTCTGACTATGCTAAGTGTCTCAAAATAGATCGACAAAAAGCTGTGTAACAGCATTATGCAATAAGAAAATCGTCCTAAAAGCTCGAGGCTTTAACTGAAAAAGATCATTCTTATAGTGTAAATAGAGTGTGATAAGTTGTGTCGAATGGCGTTTGAATGAACTTTCTAATTCTCAAGTCTTCCGAGATAATTGAAAAAAATGATATCAAAAACGTAACGTTGTTAGGTTTGAATAGGCGGTGAAAGTAAAACAAATGCATAGAAGGACCGATTGAGATCGGATCTTTTTACTTGGTATGGCTTTTGTTTTCAAAAAATTTCGATGATTTTCATCACTTTTTGCTTGAAAAAAAGCCTGAAAATCTTGTTCGTTTTTTTCTGATCGTGTATCCCAGAATCGTGGTAGGTACTGCAATCTTACATGTTCTTCCAAATAAAAGAAGAATTTAATATATAGAATGAAGGTCTCCACAGAGAATTTTAGATTGCCAAATGAACTATTTTCGACCCTTATTGGTTGAACACCTTCTGAAAGCATCATGATATAAAATTGAAAATTTTAGCATAATCTCTCCATTACAGTCTCAATATATCTTCAAAAATTTCATGCGATTTGAATGTACGTGGCCTAAGATCAATTTTTGAAGTAGGAATCTTAATTTTATTGACTAATTTGTGGTTTTATTGAAACACTAGAAATCATTTTTTCATCGAAATTGAATATTATTAGTCCGTCAAAAATAATAAATTTTGAATAATATTTTTTAATTTATTTATTTCAACAGATCATCAATAAAGTTATACAATATTACTTCAAAATAGCTGAATTATTTGATATAAATTCTTTAGAATTTTTTATTAACAACAACAACTAATAATAAATAATTAGTTAATTAATTTAAAATGTTTCTTGAAATCGTCGACATGAATAAGTCGTACGATCAGGTAAACAACGATCAACAGATATTAAATGATTACCTCGTCTAAATAACAAAACAAAAGTTTGAGCTTTTCATTTTTTTTTTTTCTAAATTTATTTATCTTACGATAGTCCAATAATTTTACATTCAGGATTTTGTTTAAATTCTGATCGAGCAAATAATGCCATATATGCACTTTCTTCAGAAGGAATTCTACGATAACGTTGATTACCATCAAATACTCGTTCGACTAAAAATAAACATATTAAGAAAAAAAAATACATTCAAAGATTATTATTATTTTTTTTTCTTACATTCAGCAAGATGAGAATTTTCAATAAATTGAAATCTAACATCAGTACTTAGTTTCTAAAATATATATAAATAATTCTTATTTATATATATAATTAAAAAGTAAAATAATTTACAAGAAATTCATTAGCTGTTGAAATAACTTGAATTTCAGCTTCCATATTAGCCATTTGTGAAAGCATTAAATTCCACTATTCAAAATAAAATAAAAATCTAGAAAGATCTATTTTTTTTGAAAAAACTTCTTTTTATGACATGCGACTCTTTAAGAGTACTCCTCTTCTCTTTCCGGGATTTCTAAAGAATAGCTTCTCAGAAAAACTTGAAATCTTCAGAGCAGGTAGATCTTAACGATTAGAGTAAAAGTTATCATAGACTCAAAATTCCTGGACTATGAGATACTGGTCTCGTTTCTCCAGAATACTATGCTCGATTGAACTGAAAATTTCTTTTACAGACACTGTTTGAGATGGATATCTTTTTATCGCTACTAAAAATCAGCAGAACAATATTTCTTTTGAACCGAGAAAACAAAATACCCATTCGAAACAGTGTATAGTATTTTAGCTCGATCGGATGCAGTAGGGACGGGGAAAATGAGGGCGTTTCTGCACTTTTTTTAATGAAAAAGTTCGTTTTGGAAAAATTCGGACATATCAAAAGTTTACTCTAGATTAGCAAGACTCGAATGTAGAGGATTAACAAGATGTTTTCATCCTTATTCTAAATGTATTTAATTGAATTTTTTTTGAAAATAACAGAAGTAGGACTCGATTGATGTTTGTCAATAATAAATAAATAAAAAAAAGCAAGAATCTTACTAAATCTTTAAGATATTCATCGTTTAATAAACTTTGTTGAATAACACCTACAAACATCATACGTGAATTTTTTTGAACATAAAGTACTAATTCATCTCGTTCATGTTCAATATTTTTATCTGATATATTTGCCCAACTAACACGTAATTCATGACGATCACTTTTATGAAATTCTGGAATATTAAAATCCGGATTACTTATTATTGTTGTTCGATCATGGAAAGAATCCGATATTGTTGGATGAATTATTTGAAATTCTCCAATATCATCATCATCATCATCATCATCATTTTCATGTGTATCAACTTGTATTATATGAATTCGATCAACAGTTTCACTTAAACTATTCATATACTCAATTTTGATAGTTTTCTCCAAATCATTACTCATTGTTGATGCACGTGAATGTAAATTTTCAAGTTTTTGTTCATCAGTTAATGATTCTTCGTGCCAAGTAGGTAATGAAGAACAACTCGAACTTTCATTAGAATTCTAAATTAATAAGATATTTGAAGAAAAAAAAAAAAAGAATAATAATAAAATAATAACCTGTGCATTAATATGATTGAAATTTTCACTCGTAGATTCTGATGATATACTTCTTGCATCAATAGCACTAGATGATGATAATTCATCCATTGTATCAGTTTCAAATCCTGTTTCTTCAGACGAACCAGATTGATCTGTTAAGACTAATAGCCCAAGATGTTTTCTATCAGTAGTTGATTGTGCACGATTGAACCTATTAAAACGATTTTTTAATAATAATGAATCATCTGATGGTGATGATAAACCATCAGATATATTAATTGCTTGTGTTGGTATTTTAGGATAAGTATTAGTAGTAGTTGAAACCATAGGATCCGTAGTAGTAGTAGTAGTAGTAGTAATTTTATCTGTAGTTTTTTGAATTGATGTTAAATTTGATGATTGATGAATATAAATACGAAAAAGTGATACACCATTTTTCAATTTGAATTCCGATTCCCATGGAATTTGTACCAAATTTTTCTATGAAATTTAAAATTTTATATATTAGGAATTATATAGCTTTTTTTTTCGTAGTCTCGACCCTGCACAGCTACATTCATGGTGGATGTGTAAAGAGCATTAAGATAGAAAATCATTGTTTAGATTAGATATACGTCCTAATTATAGGCAAATACTAGTCAATGAAAAACAAGTAAAAGAAAAATTTTCTAATTACAGGTTTATTTGACATTTATATATTATTGAAAAATATTTATAATGAATGATTCAAAAGTAATTTGATAAAATGTACATTCATTTTTTTTGGGTTCGATAGAAATTTGAAAATATTGAGTTTAAATCAAAATTTTGTATTGTTTCCGAATATAGATCCAATATTTCTCTAGAACTTCATGTTTAAGAATTATGAGTTAATATTTTAGACGCATAAAAATGAAGTTTGATTATATCGCCGGTTATTTAAGGTAAGATTGTTTCCTACAAAGTGATGGAAGTTCACAAGAATCGTTCAGAAATGGTCGAGTTCACATTGGATATCTATTTTCCATAGAAATCGAGAAAATCATCTGAATTATCACGGTTTACAGAGAAATATCTACGCTTTCATTCGCTATATTAGAAATAATATTCGATCGTACTTTGGACAAGTTTTGACATGCTGAAGTTTATCCAAACTCAGTTTACGGACTTCGAAAAGGGATTAGTTCATAATTCTTAAACTCCAGAAGGCTTATTTGGAAAGAACACACAATTCTGATGCTAACCCATCGTTTTCAAACTTTTTCAGTGAGGAACATTTTGTGAAATTACTTTTCTATAATTCGTTATAACAAAAAGCATATACTCACAGGCAATTGTTTTCTTAATTGAAAAAGAAGTTGTATATAAAAGGTTGTATCAGAATCCCATGTTGAATATAAAACTCTATAAAGTATATGAATTTAAAAATTTATTTATTTATTTATTTAATTTACTTATTATCACATCCAATAAGTCCATCTTTTAATCCATATTTTGATTTAAGATAATCTAAACAATGTTTGCTTTCTAATAACACTCTTTGATTACCCTATAAATTTCAAAAAAATATCATATATTTTATTCTTTTTTTTTTTTTTATATATCTACATTTTTCAATGGTGTATATTCGATAGTTGAAAATAAATGTGATATTGATCGTTTTTGATTACAAACATAATCCACAATAGGTGTTAATGCTTGATGAAGAAATTCATTCATTTTATTATCTTTTCCATAAATCTAGAAAAAAGTTTTTTTTCTTGTTTTCATTATTTAAATATAGATATATTTATTTACTGAATGTACATAATCCCATGTACCATATGACATATTAAATAAATCTAAAATATGTTTAAGATAAATTTGTGCTTCTTCTGATGTATAATGATCTTGTGATAAAGATAAAAACTAAATAGAAACATGTTTTAATTATATAAAGTAACCAAAAGAAAAAAAGATTCTTTACGCCACTATGTCGACCATAATGTTCATGTGCAACAAATGTATTTTGAAAATATAATGTTTTTGGTATAGATTGAAAAAGATCATGTTGAAAATATTGTACAATACCAACGATTTCTCCACAATCCAAAAGTTTCTAAATTTTTAAAAAGAAAAATAAGATTTTTCAAAAAACAAAAAAAAAGAAAATCCAAAAAGATCATCTACTTGTTGTCTTATTTGCTCATCTCTTGGATAGAAATATAGAATAGCTTCAGGAAGAATATCATTATCATCTTGTGCTCCTTTCATTAAATAAAAATCAAATATGAAGAAAAAAAGATTCGGTTTTGTTGCTTTTGATGCCATCTAAATGTTGAGATTGTTGAAATAAAAAAGAACAATGAGTATAAAGCACGCGATGTATACTCTTTATGCTTAGATAAGACAAAAAAAAAAAATAAAGAATGAAGAAGAAAGACATTTCATGTTATCCTTTTTCTTTTGTCTGTCTTGTGCACTACTTATGACGCAAATAAAAACTAGATATTTCATACACAATTCAAGAACTCTACATGATCTGTATGATAAAGCAAAATTTTTGTTTAATTAAAAATATCCTCGATTAATTTATGGAGAAGTTAAACAATTCAATAAACTTCTGAAACTATCATAGAACTAATGAATAGTTGTGATGTAACGGAGAAAAAAGTACGACTCAAGTACAATGAAGTGTCACACTTCACTCGTACCTCGAAGTATATTAACGTTGCACTTTTTTTCACTGGTTATGATGACAGTGAATATTTGTTGATAACTTAAGAATAAAAAAAGATCTTAAAGTTTATGACATGCAAAAAATATATGTCAATAATTGATATGAGAAGTTTTGAGAAATTAACTTAACAGTATTGACGGTTTATTATAAAAATTAAGAACTAAAATAGTGATATTTTATAGTTTGTTCATTTATGGAATCATATGTTATTGCAAAGATTAATTAAAAGAACAGAATTGGCCAAGTACGGACTTTTTCGAGTACGAATACTAACACGAGTATCGACCTTCGAGTACGAGTACGAGTATGAGTACGAGTACCAACCCTCGAGTACGAGTACGAGTACGACCAAAATCGTACTCGTGTACCAATACTTCGAGTATTTTGCCCAGCTCTGTAATAGAATGTGTTCAGTTTTTAATTCAATATAGCTGAGAAATTATTTGTTCAATGATGAAATGTATTTTACGACTGAAAACATATAAACTGAGATTTGATAATTTGCATAGAAAAACAGAACATTTTTTTTGTGAATAAGAGTACCCAGATCAATAATTCTGATCTCTAATTTCGTGAATATTACAGTAGAACCGTCGACAGAAAAACTCGATCATTGCATTTGATCATTGGATTTTTACTTTTAAATTCCTATTATTCTTCATAGTTTTCTAACTGAAGTCGACTGTGCATTATTCATCTTGATAAATATTGTCGTAATTATCTTTAAAACTTTGTTGCAAGAAAAATTCTATGAAACATTCGTATATTCTATGAGTAGAAACAAACACCCACACCCAACCTATACCACTAATAGGACCCAATACACGACCAATGCCAACGATTACATCATTAACTTGACTAATACTACCTATTCATCAATTAATATTTGAATATCTGAATAGACAAATAAGTACCATGATTATAGTTGCTGTAATGAGTACATATACTCAATCAATCGTTGTTCTGAAGATTAATAATAGATCGAAAATTCAACAAGATTATTTACATTTGACAATTTATTTCATTATTGTTATTATTATTAAAAAACAAAAAAGTAGTTTTGAATAAAAAACGAAATAAACATAGAAATAAATCAATTATTGATTTATTATTGTTCAACTTTGTAGTTTTTCCAAACTTATCGATTTTGTAACTCATCTTTTTTGAGGGATGAAATAACGCAAAAAAATATGAACTTTTTATTGATTGATAGTTTATGCAGTTCACTATAGAATATTTCTTAAGACTTTTCAAAGATTTAAAGGTAATTATTATATCTTAAGGACGAATTAATTGTTCAATCCGAACATATGAACTGTCATAGCTAGAAACTGATAGCAGATTATTTACTCTCAAGTTCGAAAGGAAAATAAAATGAAACATTATAGTTGGAAAATTAAGAACATGTATGAGACAGTAGACAACTGCAAGTGTTTAAATTAGAAACAGTTATGTGAGTCGATTTTGCTGCTATTTCAATTAAAATGAAGTGAAGCGTAGAGAGAGATGACCGATAATTTCGAACTGTTATGTTTTCAACATATTGAACAAGATTAAACACAAGAAAACAAAGGAAAATTGGAGTCAACCTCTAGGAAAGAAAATACATGGGTTAGAAAATGCAAAAAAAAATGAATTACTTTATTACTTGATGGAATTATTTTTTTAGTGAATAATCTTATTATAATCAGAGATTAACAATGAAAGTTCTTAGAAATTAATTTTACTGAACGAAGAAAATTTATGAATAAAAGCAAGAAAAAAAACCAATAAGCAAACAACAACATGTTTGAATTCAATAAGATTCTGTAAGAATGCTCTACAAGTTCTTTTACAATAATTACCGACTTTATAGGTTCAAATGATGTTGAACATCTTTTTCTTTAATTTTTACTCTTGACAAGTTTCTGTTTGTTGATAAATATTGTATACATTAAAATTTAAATCTTGTATCTATATACATATCTTTGTGTATTTTTATATTTTAGTGTTTGTATCTTTTGATATGAAGAAAAGAAGAAAAGAAAAGAAACCATAAATACGGAACATTACAAGAAATAACAAACAAATTTTTGAGAAGAAAAAAAAAGAAAAACAACAATAATGTATATATATGCCTAGATCTGTATATATTTATTAGGCTGATGAAACAAGAAAAATAAATTTTCTACAAATGCAACGTTGAACACAAATTTCCATCTAGAAATACGAACGATGCAGGACAAACGAAAGAAAAGGTTCACATAAATGTTAAAGCATTTGATGTAAAATTATTTGTACTGTTATCAGTATCAATATTTGTTGAAGATGATAACAGAGGTAATGTTGAATCATTTGAAAAAAAATCCGAATAAAAATTATTTTGTCGAAAATAATCATTATGCCAAGATGCTAAATTTTCAAATGCAGATGATGATGATGGAAGTAGTGGAGGATGTGGAGGAGCAGAATTTGATGATGTTTCATCAATTAAAAGATCTATTTCATTAGTTAAAGTATTCATATCATTCAATAATGATGATGTTGCAGGTGACATATGAGATGAATCTAAATTACCAAATAAATATTGATCTATTGGATTTGATGATGGTGGTTGTGGTGGAAGAGGAGGAGGAGGATGGGGAGGAGGCATTGATGCTTGTTTTGAACCATTTTCAGATATTGTTTGTGATTGACGAATAGCAAAAAATTTTCCATCCGGTGTTCGAATGTATGAACCACGGGATGCTTTTATTAGATGAATGCGTACACCAGTTGGAATAATTTCACGTTCTGATGCATTTAATTGAACTTGTAAGGCTAAATAAGGAAAAAAGACAAAAAACATTCTTAATAATTTCTAAGCGTTTGTGTTTATAGCATTAACAGTACGAAACTGTATTCTTTTATTTTTGACAATTAAAATATTAAGTTAATTATTTGTATTCACAAGATGTTTACGTTCATTTGATAGAATATATAAGTTAGGTCGATCTTAACTTCAAAAGATCCTCTGCGAATAGAATCTTGTTTTCAATAGTTTGCATTCTATTTCATTGTTTTCTTGTATGCTTATATGAAAATGTACAAAAGATAAGACAAGTAATTGAAACATGAACAATATGAAATCTTCGAAATAGATGAATTTTGAAAAAATAGTTCAATTTCGTACATTGACAGTATTGAACCTTTGGTTACCGGCGACGCATCTATGTGTCACAGGCTTTATCATTGTGTGAAACCAACCCAACTGCTCATAATGCATGTTTTTTTTTTCTATACATCCACATAAAAGCAAATATCAGACAATAGGAGCTTTTATATCATCATTTTGTTATCGCACACGCTAGAGCCGCACCATAACTAGTTATACGATATCCAAAGGTTTAATGGTATTGAAATATTTCAAGAATAGATATAATTAGAACTTGTATTTATGTTGATTGTGTGAATGCGTACAGTCAATTGAGGCACATTCAATGTTAAAGTTTTCAATGCTGAAAAGCACGAAGGAAGGAAAGAAGAGTATCTCTGCCTTCCGATATAAAGAGCTCCCTAACTGTAACATTGAACTGAAGACCAGCCTGATGCAAAGTTCTTATACTCCCTATACACACTAACTAAATACAAGAGTAGACATATGTCACAACTTAGTCAATATACTATCGGACGAATGATCTGTGATAAGCAGCCATTAGTGACTTGTCTAGGATCATCCCATGCCTGGTAATACTGATTTTTAGATACACTACCTACTGAATGCGTGCTAAATAACGTTGTTATTTGGTCCTGACGACCGCTAATCACTAAACCAACATAAAAATTAAAATTTCAGAAACAATCGCTTTTCGGAATTTAACATCGGCGTAACTCCTATAAAAAAAGCCGATAGGGAAGAACACTTTACGCCATTGTGACCAACTCATTGAGTTCTACAAACTGATATAAAGCTTTTCCTCATCAATTATTTCTAACCGTTCAATTGCAAATAAAAACTTTTTAAATAAGAAACATAAACTCTTGTCAATAAAATGTATACTTACGATTTCGAAGTATAATTTGTTCTACAGATATTCCATGTTGTTTTAATTGTTCTAATTTTCTATCTGTTGATTGTTGTTGTATATGATAAGGTAATGGTGTCATAGATGCTGTTGATCTTATTGGTTGATATAATGGAAAATGATGTTCAAGTGAAGATGTTGAAGGTGAAGTATGAAGATATGAACGTGGTTCATAATCATTAAATAATCGAGAGTAACTAAAAATAAAATGAAATAAAAATTTGTAAAAAAAAATTATTTTTTTTTTTTTGTTTTTGTTTACGATCGAGAAGTTTGAAATCTTGAACGACATGAAAAAGTATTCATTCGTTTTTCATCTTGATATTCTTTTTCAGCACGTCGTTTTTCAGCTGATGTTAATTGATATTCTTTACGATCAGATAAAAGAGATTCATGTGTAAATGGAATTTTTGTTATTGATTGAGAATATTGTTTACAAGTCGATATTAATATAGAATCATCAGTTATTTCATCAATTGTTGTTAATAAATCAGCAGCTGGTAGTTCTTCTTCAGTCTAATAAAAAATAAAAATTTTAAATATATTGT